AACACCCTTTTTATAAGTTAAATTGGGCAGCGAATATATTCGACTCGAATCGAATTATTCCTCGAATTCGCCGAATCAGCCGAATCGAATTTTTGAATACTTCGCTCATCTCTAGTTACAACCAAAAATGTAAATGTATTTTATTGGGATTTTATGTGATAGAACAACACAAAAGTGGCACATAATTGTGAAGTAGAAGGAAAATCATATATGATTTTCAAATTTGTTTACAAATAAATATCTGAAAAGTGTGGATTATTCAGCCCCCACCGAGTCAATACTTTGTAGAACCACCTATCACTGCAACTACAGCTGCAAGTTTTTTGGGGGGGGATGTCTTTTTCAGCTTTGCACATCTAGAGAGAGAATTTGTTGCCCATTCTTCTTTGCAAAATAGCTCAAGTTCTGTCAGATTGGCTGGAGAGTGTCTGTGAATAGCAATTTTCAAGTCTTGCCACAGATTCTCAATTGGATTTAGGTCTGGACTTTGACTGAGCCATTCTAACACTTGAATAGGTTTTGATCTAAACCATTCATTGTAGCTTTGGCTGTATGTCGTTGCCCTGCTGGAAGGTGAACCTCCGCCCCAGTCTCAAGTCTTTTGCAGACTCTAACAGGTTTTTCTTCTAAGATTTCCCTGTATTTGGCTCCATCCATCTTCCCATCAACTCTGACCAGCTTCCCTGTCCCTCCTGAAAAGAAAGCATCCGCACAGCATGATGCTGCCACCGCCATGTTTCACGGTGGGGATGGTGTATTCAGGGAGATGTGCAGTGTTAGTTTTCCACCACACATAGCATTTTGCTTTTAGGCCAAAAAAGGCAATTTTGGTCTCATCTGACCAGAGCACCTTCTTTCACATGTTTGCTGTCTCCCCCACGTGGCTTCTCGCACACTGCAAACGGGACTTCTTATGGCTTTCTTTCTACAATGTCTTTCTTCTTGCCACTCTTCCATAAAAGCCAAATTTGTGGAGTGTATGACTAATAGTTGTCCTGTGGACAGATTTTCTCACCTGAGCTGTGGATCTCTGCAGCTCCTCCAGAGTTACGATGGGCCTCTTGGCTGCATCTCTGATTAATGCTCTCCTTGCCCAACCTGTCAGTTTAGGTATCTTGGTACGTTTACATGTTGTACCATACTCTTTCCAGTTTCTGTTGATGGATTGAACAGTGCTCAGTGAGATGTTCAAAGCTTGGGATATTTTTTTATAACCTAACCCTGCTTTAAACATCTCCACAGCTTTATCCCTGACCTGTCATGTGTGTTCCTTGGCCTTCGTGATACTGTTTGTTTATTAATGTTCTCTAACAAACCTCTGAGGGCTTCACAGAATAGCTGTATTTTTACTGAAATTAATTTACACACAGGTGCATGCCACATTTTTCAGATATTTATTTGTAAAAGATTTTGAAAACCATTGATCATTTTCCTTCCACTTCACAATTATGTGCCACTTTGTGTTGGTCTATCACATAAAATGCCAATAAAATACATTCACGTCTTTGGTTGTAACATGACAAACTGTGGAAAATTTCAAGAGGCATGAATAATTTTTCATGGCACTATATGCTAGTTGAAGTTGAAGTCTTGGATACATGTAAAGCTTTCAATGATTTGCAGTGAATAACAGAGAAAGAAAAAGTATTAAAAATATTTATTGAAACTAAAACATACAAAAAAAGTAGTTTTATGTTCTGACATTTGTACTTGCAGTGCTCCCTCTAGTGACCTATTGCTAAAAATACAGCTGATTGCATTTTCTAGCTGGATTGCAATTCAGAAGCACCTTAAAAAAAAGAGACATGACAGTCCAGGCACTGTATAGTGTGATGGTTGTTGTTTTAGACTTCCTCCAACAAAAGAAATATTTAAACTGTGCAGGCCAACTCTAAGCATCCACATCCCGCAGGCAGAAATCCACATGGTCTGATGAGCACTTAATTACAAAAGAAGCATATTCCATAACTTCCTTCTCCCCTTTTTACAAAATGAAATAAAAATAAAGACATTTCACACTTTGGATGCAAAGTTTCACGTTCAGTCTTTGATAAAGAAGTATTATCTCCTTTACAGCCAGTTTCCTCAATAGCAGCAAACATTTGCAAGGCAGCATTTTTAGTTCATGTCCACTGCTACTTGTTAGAAACGTAGTATTAGGAAAGATTCATCTAATCCTCTTCATCCTGGCAATTTAATATTAGTGCAAGTCATTTAAAATACATAAGAACATTTAGACTAATAACTGGTTTGTATAGGATATACAGAATACTAAGTCAATGAAAAGACAATTTCATGGTGAACACTGATTTTTTTTTTCAGTCTGTCGCTTGTCCCTCATCATCACGCATCTACCTTTTTTATTTTTATTCATTGGCAGTGTTTTATTAGTAATCAAAAACTCCCCACTTTAACACACACGGAAAAACTGTACTGGATGAAATTTAAAGAGTTTAAGTATTCCACGTTCATCAGTCTTAAGCTCTTCATATAAATAATGTGACCAACCTGACTGATCTTGGGGAGAATGAGATCAATTTTCCCAAATCAATTTTTATTCTCTAGGTTTTTTTTTTTTTTTGGTTTTTTTCCCCTAAGCTTTAGCCAGCAACAATGAATGTCATAAAAAGCCAGCTGAAACAATTTAACATCTATTACAAAAAATAATGTATTCTGAAAACCTTAAGAAATTATTGTTTTTAATGTTAGCATTTATTATAGGAATTCCTTTTTCATTTTCCATGTTTATATTCATATTTTTATCCACAATTACACATCGGCCATGGTGTCTAAAAAAATTGTTATTGACAGGGGTGTTACAAGAACCTTTTCTTTATAAAATATTAACCCTTCTATGATCAGGCCATTGATGCCTAAATGCCCAGGTCAAATGTAGCAGCATCAGCTAACTTGACAGTAATGCTATGGGACATATTTATAAAGCAACTGATCTTACAGTTATTAAACATGCACATGTGTTTAACCAATCATTAATTTAAAACATATGCACTGTGTAGATTCACCTGTAGTGAATATTTGGTGAATGCCCCATTCACTGCTTTATAAAATATAGCCCTATGATTAATTTGCATACCTACATTATTTTGTATCTATTTAAGAGTATATAAGGCTTCTATTTGGTGCACTCTTTTAAAAAAAACCCTGCTCTGTTTTTTATTATATGCCGAGAAATGCAAAAAAAATGCACAAAAAAGTTTTAAAAATCTAATTTTTAATTTATAGGTTCTTTTTTTTTATTGCACTGCAGATATTACTGCAGCCTGAAGGTGGCAGTGGCAGTCATCTGCAGGCTAAAGTCTTTAATTTTTTTATTTAAGCTTTTGAGCCTGCATGTCATCACTATGTTATAGATGATCACATGATTGGAAAGCACTCCAATGGTTAGTGAGGACTTTAGCCATGACAGCACAGATTGATAGCCAACAGATGCACAAAGTCTCAGCTGCTGGCTCCCACATGCAGTATGCTGGGATTGCTGGGATATGTATTCAGATTGTGGGTAAGAAAGGTTAATAAAAGGTGACCATTGCCAGTACTTTGGCAGTGTTATGGTTTTTTGGACCTCTGTCACTTTTTCACGGACAGCTTTAAACATGATGTTTATTACCAGTCTGCATTTATCAGAATACAATATTTTTTGTATTAGTTGTCATTTATGGAAGATCTTTCTAACTATGATCTCATGTGTATGGAAAGTCTTAGAAATTCCATATTGTAAGACAGGACAGAGGCACAGTTGTCGTGGAACATTGTCTGGTGGCTCAGTCTACTTTGTTAAAAAAAAAACAAAAAAAAACCCTGCTGTGTCCCTATTGCTTGCACAGGCTATTGGAAGACCTATTGCACCTAAGAGGTCACGTCCAAATGTAGACACAGCATTTATGTAGTCACACCAGGCATTAACAGGAACCCAGGAAGGCAGAAATGAGAGTTGCCATGGCTGATCCGTTTTTCTAAAGTTGTGAGCTCTGGGGCTGTCATTATCGTTGATTTCCCTAAGTGAAGCCTGAAAATCAGAATGTTTAGACTTCGCTGGCTACATGTTTGTTCCACATTTGTGAATCGCTAGGTGGCGCATCCACAATCACAATGACACCCCCAAAACTTGCAACAGTACAAATCAAGTCAGTATGACAGCTGTCTTATTTCACAGATTCCATTTAAAAGCCCTAATCAGGTTAAATCTCTTTCTCTATAGTAAACCTTTTCCACACAGAAGCATGAAGGTCGCCATGGCTAAACTCATTCCAAAATGCTAATTGTCTGGCTGTTATGCTGTGCTGCTTCATTACTTTCCTATCACAGATTTGGACCAAGTATACAGCTCAGCAAATTACAGGAAAAGTCCTATGTTCTTATCTGAAAGCATATTCCAAATAAATTACTTCCAGTATTGGAACCAGAGGATCAGCTTGACAGTCAGGCAGCCAGCATTTCCCGAATGAGAAGTTAATAATTGAAAGGTTCTTTCAGGAAAGGTCACCTTTAATGTGACTGTTATGTCAAGCCAAGTAAAAAATAAAACTTAGATTTCTAGTTAAAAGTGGGGTTATTCTTTCTAATACAATCAATAACTGTACAAAATCAGTCAGAATTTGGTTTCATTGTTAACACACAATAACAAATCATCTTGTAACATAAATAGCAAAAAAAAAAAATAAAATAAACAAACACCGAAACATAAACACATAATATAAAACGCTACTGAATTTTAGTCAAAGATGTGCTACTTCAGATTATTCAGAATTCCACCAATATGTAAAGCAATATTTCTGAATTTGCAAAGATACTTTGTAAATATGCAAAAGCCATCCACCTGACACAGATATTTTAGGATGTTTCTGTGTTGAATTTCTGTCATTCCTAAATACTCAGATCTAGGATACAATTCAATGTATTGCATATACCAAATCCTTCTTCCTTAGGTTTGGAAAATGGCAGTTAAGGCTGAAGGGTAAACTAGTCATTCATTCACTTGATTATTGTTCCTTCTGCTCATTTAGCATATTCTGCTTCTCTTCTTTGCCACTTATGTGGTTGGTATGTTTCTTGGCATTCTTCCTGGCTCTTCTTAGGGATGCCTGAATGATGAGATAGCACAACTCTGCCACATTTAGGACCATACAAATGCCAGACACGATGATCATGAAGATGGTAAATACAGTCTTCTCAGTAGGCCTTGAAATAAAACAATCAACCACATTCGGGCAAGGCCAATTGTCGCACTTGACAAGACGTTGCATATGGAAGCCAGTGTAGAGGAAATAGAAGAGATACATGAAAGTAGCCTCAAACAGAACCCTAAACAGGATGCTGATGGTGTAGGTCCACCAGAGTGTACCTACTATCCGAAATTTACGCTGTTTTAACACCTCTAGGTCCCTTCCATCAGACTGAGCAGATGGGAGCTTTCTTTGCAGTTGTCTTTTTTCATTGTGTCTCAAGTAAGCCACATGCATGGCAACCAACAGAGCTGGTGTAGCCACAAAGATGAGTTGGAGGCACCAGAGCCGGATGTGGGACACTGGAAAGTGGTGGTCATAGCACACATTTTTGCACCCAGGTTGCAATGTATTGCAGGTGAAATCCGACTGCTCGTCACCCCAGACACTCTCTGCAGCCACCACCAGAATCATAATACGAAATATGAACAGGACGGAGAGCCATATCTTGCCAATGCTTGTTGAATGTTTGTTGACCCCTCCAATGACCTCATAAAGAGTTCCCCAATCCATGCCGGTCGATGAACGTTTCTGGAAGACACAATGGAAACATTTTCAAAACATGATGATAATGGACAAACTATTATACAACAAGCACTCCTCACCAATAATGCAGTAGAAAAGATAAGAGATGGATCTTCTCTTAAAATCATACTAGCAGTCATACTAACAAACATATTTTGAAATCATACTAACAGATTAACATATTTTGTTATATTAAAAAAAAAAGTTCAAACAGTAAAAACTTGCATTACCAACCTTGAGTTATATGACGGAAAACTATACTCAGTGTATTATAACAACTTAGGCAACTTAGTAATAAGATTGATTACATATGTACACACTCCTTATTGATGGATGTCAAATTAAATATATAGAGTGCCCTCTCCTGGTGATATGTTGAACATTAAAAAAAGTGATTTTTACTGTTATCTATCTGAATGTTCACAGACAACAGTAAAACCAATTGCTACTACTATTTATTGTAGATTGATGATTTTATGAGGAAAGAAATGGATAACTAAAAACTGAAGGACTATAGGCAAGTGGGGAAATGCAAGGAATAACAGGTAACATACAGGTGAAACTCAAAAAATTAGAATATCGTGCAAAAGTTCATTTATTTCAGTAATGCAACTTGGTGGCACTAGACTGTTTAAAACACAAAATTAACTGGATCATGGTTAATGATAAACTCACATGCACCCTCAAAAAAAAAAACAAAAAACAAAGAAAATTTGACAGGATGTGGGATACTTGGATTTGTTACGTCAGTAGACTAACAAAGCCTTGGGAACACCCTCCACATTGTCTTGGAACACTTTTCTTACTCTATTCTTTTTCCTTCTTTCTCCTTTGTTCTTTGATGTATATGTATCATACTGTGCATTCAAACAGTTAATAAACTGCTGGTTTCTTTCAGGGCCATCATATTATTGGAATAAGGCTAAAGGGGGCTTTCATTTCACTGAAAATAATCTGCCCCTTAGTGAAATAGGGTTTAATTTGATCAGATTATCCTCACTGCAACTGGACAGTATGCAGTGTGTGTGTGTATATATATATATATATATATATATATATATATATATATATATACACACACAGGTGGAACCTGAAAAATTAGAATATCGTGCAAAAGTTCATTTATTTCAGTAATGCAACTTAAAAGGTGAAACTAATATATGAGATAGACTCATTACATGCAAAGCAAGATAGTTCAAGCCGTGATTTGTCATACTTGTGATGATTATGGCTTAAAGCTCATGAACTCATGTAATGAGTCTATCTCATATATTAGTTTCACCTTTTAAGTTGCATTACTGAAATAAATGAACTTTTGCACGATATTCTAATTTTTTTCGAGTTTCACCTGGCCAAGCCATAATAATAGTTTTTTTAATACATGTACTGTATATCAGTTCTTCTCCTTCTATTGTTCACTTTTACAAAAAACAACTCTATGCAGAAGATTTACTAAAACTGGTATGGCTGTGCATAGTAACCAATCAGATTCTAACTTCAGCTTGTTCAATTAAGCTTCGACAATAAAACCTGGAAGCTGATTGGTTGCTATGCAGAGCTGCACCAAATTCTGTGTGTGCACCAGTTTTAAAAAAGCACCAAATTTAAAGGAGAAGTGCGGGGATTGCTTTTTTCTCCAATCATACTTACCTAATGTGGATGCAGCATTGGTCCGATGCTGCGTCTGTCCCCTGGTGGCTCTAACTGTGAGAATTCAGTGATCACATGACCGCTGATCATTGAGTTCTCACAGCCGCTCTGAGCAGAGAGCGGTGACTGTCAGTCACCGCTCTATGCTCTGCCCCCCCCCCCCTTCCCCAGCTTGCTCAGGCTGTCAGTGGCTCGCTGAGAGGCTGAGCCAAGTGTCGTTTCAGACTCTGGGGTGGATCCCAACTTTAAAGTCGGGATCTTCCCCCAGCCTGGACCGGCTGAGTGACATCAGCCGACAGTGGGCTTCAGCCCACTGTCAGCTGAAAATGGATCACAGCAGTGCAAAATGAACTGCACTCCTGTGATGCACAGGAGAAGTACGGCCAAAAAAGCTTTGGCTGTACTTCTCCTTTAATGTTTTGTACCAGAAATATGATTCTAGTGCCTTTATTAAAAGGACAAATCACAGAATAAAATCTGTAGTTAACCAAACTTTTTTTTACCTTAACTTTGTAGTTAAAATAGTAAACTTTAATAATTTGTATTATCTCCTTCGTTCCTTTCCGTTAGCCTTTTTTAACTGTATGTATACTGTATAAAAGTTTTAAATTTGTGAGAGATTTTTTTAATGCCCAATTTTTTATCTCAGGGAGGGAGGCAAATTCTAGTATTCTCATTCTGAAAATTATAGGACCTTGTCCCAGCACTGGCTGACAGGGTCACTTTAAACTGACAGCTACCACTTCCAATATGATTCTGTTTTACTGCTGCATTGACTGCCATCTACAAGCAAATATCAAACAATGCCCATATGTTTTGGGCCAAAAGAAGCCATTATAAATACAATAATGTATTCTGCTGCTTGAGAGAATAGTTAACGGCATAAACAGATTTGGTCCACTATTGCAGTGTTATATCTCATTCCCACTCTGTTCTCTGATGTTATAATGCTGGCTAGTTTGAGAGATCTGAAAAACAGGTGGGTCAGTCTGAAACATGGAGGATACTTGCCTACAAGTATCAACTTTGAGTGGAAGACAGTGCTGGACTGACGCTGCTGAAGGCTGCCTAGCGGCAAGTTACTGTGTTGGAGGGTATTGAGGGAATAGCTTCCAATGGGTTATATCCTGATTGTAGGTTGTGGGTGATAGACTCATTTGGGAACTAGGGCTGCTACCTTTCTGATAAGGCATTCCCTGAGGTGTTCCCAAAGGACCCTATCGATTGGCTATGGGTTTTTACCATGTATTTTTCTCGCTATATACTAGCCCTGAAGAAGGGGGAGTCAATTCCCCGAAACACGTTGTCTCTATTTCTTTACTTTTATAAAATTCATCGAATGAGACTTTTTTTGGTTATCAGGTAGTCCTCTCCAATCACCTAAGTGAACTACAACAAGGAGGGCAGACTGTGAATGACGAGTAACACTACAATAAAGCTCAAATGGACTCATTCAGTGGACACCTTTCTCCATAATAGATGGTAAGAGTCCACTATATCATTCACACTCACTTAATACTGAATGAAAGAAACTTTAGAGTTTTTTTTTCATATAAAATGTTGTATCCTAACCTATGCCTCTCACACTAATGTGGACATGAAACTGCCTTGTAAAAATGGAAGGTTGTGCTGGCTTTTAATTGCAGATGAAGTAATAAATGTATACACATTCCGATGCATTATAGTCATTGATGGTAGATGCTGGTTGGACACAAAAAGGTCATCCAGTGAAAGATCATTACATCATACAAATGCTGTGATTGCTCAAGAGTGCACATTTAAGGCTTAGGAGGAAGGACTGGGAGTGAATAATAGGGTAACCTGATATATCATTGAAAAACAATAGCAGTCAGCTGAGGAAAGAACACTTGATTGTGTTTTTTCCTAAAGATCAGCTGGCTATAGAGTGAAAAACTGCTTGTTCCCAGAGGCATGGGGCCATTGCCTGGTCTGGCCGGAATTGGCTAGACTAATTCCTGGTACACACATTCAGTTTTTTTTTTTCTGTTCAACCCAGTGGGCTGAAAGGAAAAAAAACAGAGAGATTGCTGTACTAATTAAGCGATGTTAGTGCAGCGATCTCTCCTGCTGTGCCTTTGTATTTTCATGGGGGACTGCCTCACCACCACCAGAACACACTAATCAGTTGAGCGCTGATTGGATGCTGGTTCCCCAGCATGTACCTTTGACAAAAGCCAGTCCTTAGAGCAGCTCTTGTCAGAAGGACAGCTGAACTATGGTTCGAATGTTGGCTGGTTCCTGCTGATATTCGGACCGTGTGTACCCAGCCTAAGAGGGGACCACCTTATGATAACCATACATGGCTTGAATTGGCCCCGGCAGCACCATCCATCTTGACAAACTTTGACTGAAAAGTTGAAGGAGCCAGGTGGAAAATTTGTCAGCCAAACAGTGAATGCATCCTATCAGATACAGTCACTATTCGAATATGCCAACAGCCATGGGTGTGAGGGGTTGTCAGAATAAAATAGCCATCATGGGAGATTACTCCTTCCACACTATTTAGCATAGTGCAGGAATCTGTTCCACTTCGTCCTTTTCTCTCGTTTAGCCCATGGACATCCTCAACAAACCCTGGAACAGGACACAGATGGCTTACTTCCGAATCACTGGTGACATCCATCCTCCAAAGCTAATATATTCCATATCAAAGGTCATCTTAGTGCTTTTCATTAACTAAAGTGTATTTTGCAACATTTTTTTATCAGCAAAAAGGAAGAGTGTTTGTATTGATTTTTCAGGAGGAATGCCAGGTAATGCCAAGATAATAGAAATGACCCATCTTTCATCTCAGGAAAAATATCTTTGATTAAAAAAGTACGTCACAGCCTATTTTCATTTTGGATAGAGAGGGGAAAGATTAAAACACTTGTCAGTCCTTTTTCTGCTATCTAGTGAGCCATTAGAGAGATTTTGCCTCACTCCCTGTCCTGGCGACAATGGTTTCATTAAAAGGAAGTCAGGAAAAATTTGCAACAGGACCAAAAGTAAAAATCTGTCATGGGTTCTAGCTTCCCTTTACTGAAGAAAAGCATTTTTTTTGTGTTTCTGTTGGAAAGTTCCCTTCACTTCCTGTTTGGTGACACTGTTGTCAGCAGGACAGGAAGCATGGGGAAATCACTCTATTTAAGGATAAATTCATGTTTGGAACATGTTACATCCATATTTAGGGTGTAATATGTAACAAGCTTCAGCACTTCCCCTCTCCCCATATGGAAGAAAAATATATTTGAAATATATATTAAAAATATTCTTCCCAAATATATTGCCATATATGTGAAATACTACAATTTTGGTCATATTCAAATATATTTAAA